TTCAGGTGTTTATGGATACATGAACTTACCTAGCAGTAGTCAGAGCAGAATAAATCTCCCGGGCTTGGTGTGACGCATCTGCCAATATTGATGCGTTCAAGGACACTCAGAAATGCTAAAGTTACCGATGAAGAGCGCTGGAAAAGAGACTAAATTAGAGTATTTTTTGTATTTATGTTATATATTTGTTTAATAATATAATTTGTTCACAGTGTACAAATGTGAGTGGTCAGGATCCATTATCAAAAACACCGTCATGCATAAAGACTGACATGCAGAAAGAGCCTTGAACCATGTCAGTTGGAGTGATGACATCATCGTGTTCCATTACACAGGTGTTTTTATTTGAGCTAATGAGGCGTCCAGAGATCAAAGGTTTCCATTGTTCTGGATGAGAGATAAACCTCTTACATGTGAACGTTTTGTGGAAGAACCGTAACAGATATCTGTGAAATTTCAAAACGTGAAGCATGTCAAGGAAGTTGAGTATCTGAAGTGTAATTTTTGTGTACTTTCGGGTTAATAATGTGGCCTTTTTGGCAGTTTAACTAAAGGTGTGCGGCTGCTGCTGTGTGAGGAAATATCTGCCTGAAATTACAATGGGCTTTAATGGAGACATGTTGAACGTTTTTGTCACTTCATGCCCTCAAGAGTGTTAAATGTTAAAAATGTGATGAATTATGGGATGTATCTCTGGAATTATGAAAGTTATGAATGACAAAAGTAATAGCCATAGATTCCCGACCGAGCTGAACGTTTTGATGTTTGAACGGAGTTTCTGCGATGTTCAATGCGGGAGAAAAAGCGCGGCAAAATAAGTCGGCGGAATAATAAACTTTTCGTCCGTAGAAGAACAGTTAGTTGGAATGCTGTTAACAGCATTCCCACTAAATGAGGGAGCGCAAAAGAGAAAGCTGTAGCGAGAGCAAAAGTCTGATCATTGAGAAAGAAGAAACAAGAACTGCAAACAAAAACCTATGTTAAAACAAAGAAAAAATACTTATAGTTTACATGATTACACAAATGATTTGTTTGCAACTTATAGTTTTATTTTTGAAATTTATTTTATTTTGCTTGACTCAGTTTTTTTTCTTTTGAATTCATAGTTTTGCTTTATTCTGAGAAACTGTTGCTTTATCTGTATGATACAAAACTAATCCCATAGCAAGGTGACACTCATTCAAGTCACAAAGAACAACCACAGGCACCGAGATAGAATCCAGTGTGCTTTGCTGTTCCACATAATTAAACTGCTGCACTGATGAACGCCTTTATCTGTGGAGTCCAAGGGAAACTTCAGCAGTGTAACCTGTAGGAAACTTAAATTCCTGATAGGTGAGGTATTAACTCTTAAATCAACCATTCACTTCAGCATTAGCTTGCATACAATGTTGGCAAAGAGATATAAAATGTGGACAGTCCTGCTCTGAAGCACAGTCTGATGCCTGAGATCGGTTCCGTTCAGATGATAAAAGTTTTTATGTAGAAATAAAAACACTTATCTTTATTTAAGACTTTAAAAAGCCTTTATCTGAGGATATCATCAGTCAAAGAATGAAAGCTTTCAGCAGCCGGATATATCTTCACAAATATTGGATGGACCGGTGCAGATACCCACGTTCCCCACATGATGAACTGAAATGAATTTAGCCTAGTCTTTAGATTATTAGTGAAAACGTTGGTTCAGGACCAAAACATTTTCCCATCAGCCTTATTTTGCAAATGTTAGAACAACACTACTGCTAAACTAAGATGATGACTGAGTTGAGCTTCATTTCGCTGCAGTTTTATACTTTTATCCCATATTTTTTGTTTTATTAGGGCATGTATAGTCAGATGTGTTCAACAACCTACAGTACAAGTATTGATATCTATCATTTTTATCAAGGGACTGAATTAAGAAAAAACAGGCTGAGTAGTTTAGTTGATTCAACAAGTGGTTGAATGGAGCGAACATTTCTGAGCACACGGCCAGTGAATGAAAACCAGGCCAAAAGGAATGGCCTGCATGTCGTTAATGGCAGTCCTCCTGACATATCATTTATTTCTCAGCCGTGGGCTCTGTGGTAATGTGATCAGTAGTCTGAAGCAGCCACTCTGTTCCCTGCTGGTTTCACTTCAGCTCTCCGCTGTCCCTTTAAACACTTCCTTCCCCTGTTACCATAAAGCTGCTAGAAGAGCCTCACTGCAAAAGTCACATGCTCCAGCTCCCTTTGTTTCCCATAGAAAGCCTCTAACTATCTGTGCACGAGAATGGCTGGAGAAAGAGACAAGTCGTATGTGAGGGGACATTAAGTGGATCACAACTACTGTTGGCTTCAGCTGTCCAAATTATGTGTCCCTCTCTGTGTCTGCAGGATATATATATATATTTATATATATAAATATATATATATATATTGTGTTTGACAACACTCTTGCTCACATTTGGAAACATGTTCAAACAATGAAATAAGAAGAGATGTTGATAAAAACAAGTTCCCTCAGTGTCTTGTTCTGACATGCATATGCTATAGATAACATGCTTGAGTAATACACAATTCGTAAAATGCTGAAAGATAATTAAAAGGTGTAGTTGTAAGATTCAATCGCATAACAAAACTACATTATAATACATTTGTGAAATGAAAAGGTCAACGAAAAGTAAACATCTGGGAGAATCAATTCAGTTATAGATAAATGATGAATCCACTATTTGTGATCCCTCACAGCAACACAGTGTGGATGTGTTGTGAGTGCAGGCTCCACAGAGGACTACTCTCTGCAGGCATTACGGTAGTCAACCCAATAGCCCAGGAGGAATTCCAGGAATGTGAAAAGCTCCAATTCATATTGAAACTAGATTAAAAGTTCATATCTGAACAGTAAATGCTGGTTTTAACTTAAGCAACCCAATGCATGGCTTCATATCCTGATTGATATGCTTTGTTTCAAAGTAATGTATTAATATATTCTACGGTCCTCTTTTCATTCTTAATAATGCAGCAGGGATGTAGGCTCCATATAAAGCAGTGCTGTCAGATAAAGCCCATATTGATTATGTGAATGACTATACAACGTCAAAGGACTTTGATAGGGTTATCAATAACAATGTCAACTTTTCCAGTGCACTGAACTTTTCCCCACATGAAAAGTTATGCCGACATCTGCCTAGTAACAGCAATTCCTCCCATTGGTGAAACTCCAATCTCCTCCTGTTTGTGTGTGTGTGTGTGTGTGTGTGTGTGTGTGTGTGTGTGTGTGTGTGTGTGTGTGTGTGTGTGTGTGTGTGTGTGTGTGTGTGTTAGAACTTTAAACGTTAGCATTTTCCCTTCATATTCTAATTTGAAACAGTATTTTTCCTGCTAAATATATCTATATATGTATCTATAACATAGATCGATCACCTTTTGACATCAGAAAGTTAATATGCAAACAGAGGGGTTCCCATGTACAGATGTTGACTCACCAGTCCTCAAACAAGGACTGTTTAGACCTCAGACTCACATTAGGTCAGTCTGAGGGAGCCACATGGTGACCTTTATGTTCATTTAACTACATTACAGAGCTTCTGGTGCACAACAATTCATTGCCTTTCATTAATGTATACATTACAGGTAACTGGGTAAATAGGTAGAGTGTCTGTGACATATCCTGAGACTTTATCCTAACCTGTTCCCTGTGTTATTTGGAGTAGCCTACACATTAATGGAGATAGATAAAGCAGCAGCAGCAGTTTCACACTGCGCTATTGTCCCATGTGCTCACCTCATGTTCACTCAGTTTGTAGAAAGAGCTTTCATTGAGTGTTGGGGAACAAGAGGAAGAAGGGGTGTGAGCCGTTATCGCCCCCTACCGACACCAAGCTGCCACCCTCCCCCCGGTCAGCAGCTCCTCCACCGTGGACTCTGAGCCATGGACCTCCCACCACCTCCTCAGAAGCTACCAGGCTATAGGAGGAGGGGGCAGAGAGTGGGGGGGACATCCCCTCTCTCTCTTTCCTTATATATGTATATAATAGAATCCCTTCCTCGCGCGCTCCCTAGCAGACTGCCAGTCTCTTTGATCCCCCCGCCTCCTAACAACAGCTGACGTCATCGCGCTCTACCACCTCCTCCTATTCAGCGCGCCCTCGCCGACAAACTTTGTGTGCGTGTGTGTGTGTGTGTGTGTGTGCGTGCGTGCGTGCGCGTGTGTGTGTGTGTGTGTGTGTGTGTGTGTGTGTGTGTGTGTGTGTGTGTGTGTGTGTGTGTGTGTGTGTGTGTGTGTGTGTGTGTGTGTGTGTGTGTGTCAGTACGTGCGCGAGTCAGGGCTTTTTGTCTCTCGAAGGGAAGCGTTCTGAGCTTCAGACGGCTCGCGCACACCGGAGGAGCAACAGCTCGCAGCAGCAGCAGCGAGGAGAAAGAAAGTGATTTAAAATTATTCAAAATTAGAGGAATATATCTTTCTGTGTTCTGTAGCCTGCTCCTTCAGTAATAGAGGGACATTTGTATAGGGCGATACTAAGCCTTTAATAAACGGCGGAGATAATATTACTAGGTGAAGTACTATGGAGGACCAGCTGCTGTGCTGCGAGGTGGACTCCATCAGGAGAGCCTACCAGGACGTGAACCTGCTGAACGACAGAGTTCTGAACACCATGCTGAAAGCAGAGGAGAACTACCTACCGTCGCCCAACTACTTCAAGTGTGTTCAGAAAGAAATTGTGCCCAAAATGAGGAAAATAGTTGCCACCTGGATGTTAGAGGTGGGTCTTACTTCCCTTTAACTTTCAACTTCAGTGCCGCTGCTTACTTGTTGCTAGTCTCGTTATTATCTGCGTATAACGTTAGCTAACAGGATGAAAGGTGTTTAAAACTGATGTGTGTTCATTTACTGCATGTTACATAAACGCGGTGAAGTCCTCATGAGTGCTGGGTGGTCCTTCGGCTATAAGAGGAGATATTGGCTCGAGACTGTATCCCTTTCCACCATGAATACCTTTTTTATTGATTATGTTTTAGCCGGCTTCTTCCATAAGGTTATCAAATGTAATAACATGGGGGAAATATTCCAAAATAACAGCAATGTACACGTATGCAGTCTGGCCCGTGCCAGTTACGCCATCTTTGTTGTCGAATATGAGAAGGATTTTAATAACATTAAAAATCTATAACATCAGGAACAATGACAGTAAGTCTGTTAAATGGTTTAGAAATGCATGTATATCACAGGACATGGTAAGAGTGCCTGGTGCAGTGTGTTTCTCTGAAATCGGATGGAAAACTTTGTTCTGCTGTTAAAGAGCCGCTGCTCTCTGTGAAGGTCGCCCCGGAAAAAGGACATTTTGTAAAAGAGAAAAAGTATTAAATACATTTTAACAGTCGGATTTGATAGAATATGTGTTTATTAACATTACCATGAACTTTTGGATGTAATTCATTGCAGTTTTATATTTTGTTTTAATTTTTGAAATTGTGCATCGGAGAGCCGAGAGGAAGTGTCGCACAGCATGTGAAGAAGACCAGTCTGAGAAATGTATTTATTTTAAATTCAAATGTGTCTGAATTCGACATATTCTAATCACATCCGATCAGGCATATGATAGGGATCATTTACATGATAATAAAACACACCCTGGTAATTTTTAAATATTTCTAAATATTTAATGAAAAGATGACGAAGTTGAAATTGCAGAGGCTAACTTGCATCGACGCCACCTTTGTGTCTCCGTCAGAACTGACTGCACGCTATTTCCACACTCTTTTCTTTAACTACAGAAGTCTGAGGCCTACTAACTTTAATACAGAAAACACATTATTTAGAATGTTTTATGCAACACGTGAATTCTCTTTACCTTGAACAGCGATTTAAACGGAATATTTAAACCTCAAACTTGAGGTAGTAAATGCATCAAATGTTCACTTCTTGTTCATGTATTTGTTGGATGATTGTGCCTATCACGGCGATTGAATGCAAACAGCTGTGCGGAATAAGATAAAGTGTGTGGGGGGGAGACTACAGCTTGTGTACAACAATACATGTGAATGTGGATTTTTCTTCCTGCAAACTCTTACTTTTCTCATCTCCTAGGTCTGCGAGGAACAGAAATGTGAGGAGGAGGTTTTTCCGCTGGCTATGAACTATTTGGACAGATTTCTATCAGTGGAGGCCACCAGGAAAACAAGACTACAGCTGTTGGGAGCTACATGCATGTTCCTGGCATCCAAGATGAAGGAAACCGTGCCCTTAACGGCGGAGAAACTGTGTATCTACACGGACAACTCGGTGCACCCTGGAGAACTGCTGGTAATTGACTTCTGCAGACATGGATGTTGCATAACATGTACAGTAAACTATGCAGTAAGCAGGGCAAAGCACATGACCAGAACACACATCTTTTGTGATGTGTCAATGTCAGCATTATGGCACAATCTAAATATGTTATTGATTAGACATAGATAGATTATTGGGTTGGAAAGAGCGTAAATGTATGTTTGGTGCAGCAGTGCCTAATGGCTGTCTGAGACTTTCCCATGGTGACTGTAAGGCCTCTCATTTCATGAATGGTCTCAGTGACTGCCAACAGAACACGCACTGACTCACAGCGACACCTAGTGGCCGTGAGACAGAGGTGCAGGCTGTTGGCAAAGAAGTGAAGACACACACTCTGCTTTTGTGTTTGCTGTGACATGTGTGTGTGCAGCTGTTTCCATTGGTTGTGTTAGGGTTACTTCATAATATAGTCATATTCAAATGTACAGATCCTTTGTGTTTACACACAACAAATACAAACATTATTATTCTTAAAAAAGATATGCATTTATTGTTTTGATATATTTTCTATTATTTATTTGTATATATTATTAAAATATTTCTTGATTTTACTATTATTGATGGTACTGTGCATATATATCATACGTATAGGCAGTTAAGTATGCAGCACATTTCAAAAAGTTTATGAATTATTTTAGCACTTTTCAAAGAGCGAAAATAGTCGTAAATTGCATATACATGTATTAAAATGCATTACTGAGAAAGCCGAAATCTGGGGTATTTGGACCTCTACAGTGATACAAAGAGCTGGTAACATTAATTAGGATGCTGTCAACAATGTAAGCTATAACTTACATCTTACATATAAGAACTGAGTGGTGCTAGCAGGCCGAATGACCAAATGACACAGCAGATGAGAAAGGAGGAAACATTGTTGTGTACTACAAGTGGGTCAGTGTGAGTGAATGCCTCTGGTCTGATTCATCCACAGCGAATGGAGCTGCTGGTTCTCAACAAGCTGAAATGGGACCTGGCTTCAGTCACGCCTCACGACTTCATCGATCACTTCCTGTCCAAGCTGGAGATCTACCCAACCACCAAACAGATCCTCAGGAAACACGCGCAGACCTTTGTTGCTCTCTGTGCTACAGGTACGACACCGGCCTTACTACTGCTCATGTCTCCTCAGTATACTGAGACTTATTTATACATTTCTACACTTCTTGATCCGTCTTAGTATTTCATTCCCTGTTTCCTCTGTAGTCAGTTGATCTTTCCTGTAGCCAATTAGAACTCAAAACAGATTTTTTGCTGTTCCCACAGATGTTAACTTCATTGCCAGTCCTCCCTCCATGGTGGCGGCGGGCAGCGTGGTGGCAGCTGTTCAAGGTCTCTACCTGAAGAGCCATGACGCCTCCTTGTCCTCCCAGAACCTCACCAACTTCCTGTCTCAGGTTATTCGCAGTGACCCGGTATGCAAACATACATTGTTCTAAACCCAAACCTATATTTCTATCTGCACAGATTGTTAGTAGTATGAAGCTGTTTGCTCAGTGTTTCCTCTGTGATTGCAGGACTGCCTGCGGTCATGTCAGGAGCAGATCGAGTCCCTGCTGGAGTCCAGCCTGCGGCAGGCTCAGCAGCACAGCAGCTCCACGGAAACCAAACGTGTGGACGAGGACGTGGACCTGTCCTGCACCCCCACAGATGTCAGAGACATCAACATCTGAAACAACTGACCAAGGTGTTGTGTGATGACCTGATGATGGAGGGAACGTTGTCGACAGAGGGTGGAGATGGCGGGCTGACCTCAGCCCCCCCCCCTCCCTCCTCCTTCTTCCTGGTGGGCTGCTATCATGGCCGACATGTCCCATGTCCCCCCGCCCTGCAACAACTCCCATGTCACATTTCCTGCCAGTGTCCCCTCCCTCTCTGGGGAAATAAATGAACACTACAGAAATGTACTAGAAAAAAGACACAGAACGCTGAGGACCTGCGTGGGCTGGAGCTGAAGCCACACAACTATTTAGTAGATCCTTTCTCATTCCCTCACATATCAAAGTAGGAATCTTGAAATGACCGCTGACCCAACATCCCAAAGTGTCATGTACAGTAGGACCTTGTTGTGTCTTCAGGTCTGAATATGAAATCTGAGAGACATTTCTTATTTTTCATTTCTCTATTGGTATATCTAATGTTTTGACTTCCTGTCCAAGCTCCAATGTTTGTATTGTTGCAGTGCAAACATTCATTGATCCCTGCTTGCTTATCTTTAGTCACTTTATGATATATCATTTTAGATTTCTTTTTTCAATGAGTTTTATACCTCTTTTCTTCCAAGCGTTTGTGTTTTAAACCAAGTGTAGTGTAAGAGGCTGTGTTTCAGTGGCCTGCTGGGGTGGAGGCGGGAGGAGATCCACGAGCAGTCACCCACAGTCTGCTGTTCTTCTCTGTGTAGTCAAACCCAAACCATTCCAACTCTGTCAAAAAAAAAGCACTTTTGGTCAGCACTGCTGGTCACCTAAAAAAATCACAGTGATTACGTTTGTAAAACAAAATATAATGGGGGGTGGAGCAGGGGTTTCTTGACGATGAAGAGTCAGCTGCAGAATATTTTTCATCTAATGGAAGAAGAATTGAGCTTTATGGCAGAAACAAGACTACATGCTGCTTGATAATGTCATGGGACTCATAGAGCCCACGGCTTTCTGCAGCTGCCAACAATCTGAGTTTGAGTTCAACCCATGTTTCACACGCTGCTCTAAAGTAAGTGAGGAGCCAGAATCTGAAGCTCCAGTCCAAGTAAAAGGAGTATTCTTTTCATAGTAAAAAATTATTCTTCCTTTTATATAGTTAAACATATTATTTATTGTTTCTTTAAGCCTTCCTTTTCTAGTTTTCAGACTATCTGTGTCTCCACCTACTGCTGAACTATCTGCCTCCAGAGCAGCCAGAAATATGATTCCAACTCAAACCCTGCTCTTCATCGTCTCCTCGCTCACGCTACCTCAGTTTAAATACCGCTCATGGAATCTTGGAAGGGCATGAAGCTAAAAGAAAAAGAAGAGGAGTGTTGAGACTATGATTTTGCACAAAAATAAAAGACGCAGGCTTCGTTTCTTGGGGACTTGCCTAAAAAATGTGGAGAGCACAGCAGGCAAGCTAACCGAGGGGTGCAGAGGCGGCAACAAGTGGCAAAAGGGTGAAGGCACAACAGGGAGGGGGGTCTTAATGCTGTGGCGCTGGAGCCAGGGTTCAACAGGGAAGGGGGCCTTAATGCTGTGGAGCTGGAGCCAGGGTTCAACAGGGAGGGGGGTCTTAATGCTGTGGAGCTGGAGCCAGGGTTCAACAGGGAGGGGGGTCTTAATGCTGTGGAGCTGGAGCCAGGGTTCCTACACAGGACGTGTTGAAGCCAGGGCTCCGACACAGGACGTGTTGAAGCCAGGGTTCCTACACAGGACGTGTTGAAGCCAGGGTTCCTACACAGGACGGCAACGATGTCACCACCAGCTTCATGTAAGCTTTATATGTGATGGACACAATGCAGGAAGGCTCTCTGCTAAAAGTATTCTGGAAGTGTGTCACGGTGTGTAGGAACTCTACACCAGGTTTCTGATTGTACATTATGGATAGAGAGCAGGAGAGAAACACTCCTTGTAATCCGCTGCTATAGAAGAATGAATCCCAGCTACGTGTTTAAAAGGAAAAACAGATGACAAAAGACGTAATAAATTAAAAATGATGCTTTTCTCTTGTTGTTTGCTGCTACCTTTTTGGTGTTTTTTTTAAATGTCAATATACTGCCATTCTAGGTTTGAATTTTCTCATAGAAAATTGTTTTATTGACATCCTCATTTGTTTTGTTTATGTAGATTCTATGTGATCTGTTTTTTTGTTTATAGTTTCATAATATGATTTTCCGAAATATTCCAAAAACACAAGGAAAATGAGACGATGTACAGAAATGCTTTGATCCACAATACCTCATGTGACAGTCAAGATTTATCTCTAATTTGTAGTCTTTATATTTGTTTAGTCCTTATTCTACTCTATTTGGGTTCAGTGCCTACTCGCTCTGTTCAACCTGCTGGAGAGGAAGCATTGTGATGGAACGTCCAGGCCATGCTCTGATACTGGTGCCATAGCAGAAAATGGGATGTGTATAACTGTTGAGTGTTAAGCTGTCTCGTGAAAGAGACTTTATCCCCCTTTAGGCCCATAGTGGCCCCTTTTTATATTTATAAAAAAAGCTTTTTGCTCCAATTTTCAACCTGTCAGTGAGTTGATATGAGTTTATAAATAGATTCAGTGTCGTGCTCGGTAAGCCATAGACTGTTTTTTGTTACAAATCATTCCACACAGTTGTGTCTACTTCATGCCAGTTGTCTGCAACCCTTGTCGACTACACAATAAAAAGATGAATTAGATGGACTACGGCTGTCTGTTCTTGGCGACAAAGGAGCAAATCTCTTCACACCATTTTGTTGAACATCTTGGTAATGTAGTTATAGTCATGCGTCACTTTGTAAGAAAAACTTGTGGGGACATTTTTCAGATTTAAAAAACACTACTGTATTAAGCGCCCCCCACAAACAATAAATACATATAACATACATACATATGCTTCCAACACTTTTTTGAAAACTTGTGCAGTCCCTATGCTACACTGCAGCACTCTATTACATTATTACTAATATTAAACGTGTCGCAATTTGGTTACCAGAAATACTCCCCAAAAGTGTGAACAGTCCACCCAATTGTACATGTTCTCAAAGTGTACAATTATTTGTGCAAGCTACTTTCAGAACATTTTTAACAAATGATCCTAATGCAAAGTGGTGGGGACATGTCCCCATTATAAATGATGCATATGGTTATAGTAATATTAAATTAAACATTTATTGAAATGTTTGCTAAGCAATAACCTTAAACAGTTTATTGATGTAGTTAAAGTGAATGTTACTCCAACAGAGGAATTAAGTGCTTTTTTTTAGGACTATTTTCAGCCACTGATTAATACGCAACTGGTCATCTATAGTGAGAATTGTTAGCAGCGCAACGTGTGCATGCAACTGAAAAAGTAAACAACCGAATGTAATGAGGGAACATGGTTCCCGGCTCCAAATTTGTTTAATTTACACCTCATTATAAATTAAACAGGATTTGATCAAATATGACAGGAAAATGACACAATACAAATACAAGAGGTTTCAAGATTTCCATTCTGAAATGTATCATCAAAATCAAAAGCATTAAAATAGTTTTTTCTTTTCATCCCTTCTTCTTGCATGTGTCTGAAGAAAAAGACAAAACCCACACAGCTACACACACTGCTACTCACACTTCCACACACACTGCTACACACACTGCTACACACACACTGCTACACACACACTGCTACACACACTGCTACTCACACACTGCTATAAACATTCTCCCCAGAGCTCAAGACAATATGATGTAGTTTAGTGTTGTGTTTATGGCTTCACTGTGCATGTTTCTTTCTCTCCTATTTCCAACATCAATCATGATTGGATTCTCACAAGTAGCCTATAACAAAAGGTATATTTGTTTAGACTTAAAATCTTCTAAGAATCAAAAAGCAGTTGTACGTTGTGCTGCAGACATTGAGGTTTCAGGGAATACTGACTTTATGACTGTCAACAGTTTCCAAACATGGCTTGGTTAAAGTTCCTACTCCACTTCTGTCTGTGCCACACTACACTCAGCACACAATCAGCACACATAAGGAGGAGGCTCCATTGTCCTGGGTTTGAACCTCTCAGCCCAGGTACCTGTACCACTCTGACAGACAGAATGAAGACTTCTACACCTACAGCTTGTGTACAGGTCCGATTGAGAGAAGCCAGGGCCTACCTAACTGTTGATGTAAGCGTCTGCAGCTGTGCTGTTGGTGCTCTGAAGCTTATGTTAATCCTGCCGATGTCGCAGTCATTTTCGTAGCAAGAGTTATGCTGCCCTCAACTCTGGGACATTGTAATGCTGGTAAGCCCACCTACTGCTCCACCACACCAGCCTCCTGTTCCTGTTGGCGATGGGTCACCGGTCCAACCGTGCTCTCCCTAGCCAGATTTCTCAGGCACTCGAGCGATACGAAAGTGGAGGAAACAGAACACAAATATCTTGTCCTCATTGGCGAATCTTAGGACCTGCCTGAGATCTACAGTTGCAAATCAATTGCTGTCCTGGAACACCTGCCTCATAATTGTAACCTTGAGGGGCCAGAGTAACCTGTTCTAGCTGCAAAAAGATTATCTTGTATTACATGGAGCATGTTAGCATAGCCACCGAAGTCATTATGACTAAACAATGTCAAAAATAAGAGCCAACAACTAAATAATACTTCATTTAAGAATGTGTTGCGGGAGGGATAATGTGCAGTGCGGCAGGAATTCATAAAAAAATAACACCCTGTCTGTCTTTTTCTGCTGTTCCCTTTACTGTTTACTTCCTGTCTGTCTTCTTCTACTGTTCCTTTTAGTGTTCTTTTCCTGTCTGTGGGTGTTTCTCAATCTCGAGTACGCTTGCTTGGTAGCACATGTCTTCCGAGTCACTTGCTTCAGAAGCGAGGCAAGAATACTTCCTGGCACATGGAAAATGGAACTGACGGCTTCGGGCCTTGTACTGTTGCACATGTGGTTTTATTTTGAAAAGTGTTTCCCTTTCCCCATGTCCGTTACTTCTAATTATGTTCACCTGGTGCCCTGTGTGGTCTCCTCCCCCCCCCCACCTGTGTCTAATTGCTGATTAGTGTGTGGGTATTTAGGCTCTGTTTCCCTGTCTGTGTTGTCAGGTAGTGTGTGGTGAGATCCTTGTGGCTGCTGACTGTGTTCAGGGAGGACAGTCATATTGAGGCTGGTGACTATGTGCACATGATAAATAAATGCCCACACCGGGTTATATTTGAACTCTCTGCCTCTGCCTCCTTGCTTGGTCGGGCCGCTCAACGGTCAGCTTTACAAAAACAAAGAGTGGAACAGGCTAGCAAGTGTGCAGGTGTGCGTCACATGAGAGGCCCCGCCTTACATTTTCCGCCACAGATTTGGGGAAATTGGTCCGTGCGCAAAGCATTGTGGGGATTTTAAGACCGCAGAGTCTAAACATGTGCAGCCTCGACATTTCTCCAAACGAAGTACGCCGGGCTCGGTAGAATTCCAAGTATGCTGGACATTGGAACAGTCCTTCTGCGGCACTCGATGACGTAGTATGATTGAAATAGTGGCTCTGGAGCAGCTTTACTCGCGATTTTGCATATTTGGGCACAGGAAATTATGTCAGCTAGTCTGAACTGCTCAATATTATTGCAGATAGATACCTACTACATTATTCTCTGTGTCATTTCCAGTTGCATTGTTAAACTATCTGGGTAATCACACTCTGAGTCTTGAGTCCTGAATCTACTGCTACCTGTAGCAGGTGAGTTCAGTCAAGTTTTTGTGATATTGCCTGTTGAGTTTATTAGGGTGGGGGGTAGTTTCACACACACACACACACACACACACACACACACACACACACACACACACACAC